GCCTTTTAAATATAGTTTGATAACAGGATAAATAATATATTAGATTATTTGCTTGGTACTGTATATCGCAAGAAATCCTAGTATCTGTCTTCATTGGAAAAGGAGAAAACATTCTTAACTTCAGGCCTAAATGTAACTTAAACTTAGTAAATACAGTTAATTATTTGCCATTTCTGTTGGTCTGTTCATCATTACATGTTTTCCCATTATAAGTGGCAGCTGCTATGTTTTCAAACGGTGTAGAAACAAATGAACACATTTAGTTCTCTTATGACAGTGGTGATAAGTATGTGTGTACATATATGTGCAATTTATTTTATATTGAAAAAATTCTATAGGTAGAAAAAAGTACAATAAAAACAACACTTCAGTGAAAGTGTGGGTGCTGCATCAAACTTTGGCTCAAGCAAAATCATAGAGCCAGAAATGCACTGGAGTGAAAGCGAGAAAGTGTCCACGTTTAAATGATCCCAAAAGTCAAAAGTGGATGCACAAAAAAGAAAATCAGCATAGTTGGTTGTCTTAGTAGATTCAAATGCACACAAACTTGACAGACTGACGAGAAAAAGCAGAAAATCTCTGGGCTTTTGAGTTTTGTAATAAGTGCTGAGATCTATAATGAGATCTAAATGAAAACGTCCGGAGTAAAAGTACATTTTTTCTCTTGTAAAAGTATTTGGGTGAAAGTACATGTATTCAACTTCAACAGTAGTCTAGTAAAGTACAGATCGTCCAAAGTAATGCTGAAGTACGGTACTTAAGTACCATTACTGAGGCACTGTCTGCCCCCATTAAACTCCAGCGCTGATCCTCTTAATCAGTCACAGGATAGTTTTTGACATCGTCCCGGCCGCAGAACTTGGATAATGGGAATGATGTCCTTCAAAAATGCGTGTTTACCAATCTCGATTAATTACAGACATTGCAGTTCAGTTTGGGTACGAGCCTGGAGTCCAGCTGTAGCTTTGGTACACGGATGATGTGAAGCCCACTCATCTTCACAGAGTGAAGAAGCGAGAGGGAGGTGCAGAGAGGTTGTGTAATGACGAGTAAACGTGAATGACGGTGTTAGTCTTTTTACAGACGTGTGTGGTTAATGTATGTGGTTTTGTGCACTACATTGAGACTTGGAAGTAATACCACAGCTTCAAATATGAATAATGCAGGACTCCTTTACTACAGAGGTGTGTGTGCGTCACAAATATTGTTAAAAAAAAAACTGATGAGCAGGGCTTTATAAATGACGAGACCCCATAACATTGAATCCTACAACTAAAGCGGGTGTTAATGAGGCTGTTAAGAATCAAACGAACGTCACCTCAACACGCAGCCTCTAGCATGTGAGTAGTTAGTAAAAGTGATGGTGGTATGATTGGGCGCTACCAAGAAGCCAGACCCACAAACATTAAACATTAAACAGTAAACATTACAGTGAGGCATTTACTATGCGCAGTGTTTCCTCTGGGAATTTTTTTCAGCAGTGGTGGCAGGCCAGAACACCCCCCCCCCACCACCAACACCCCACAATCCAGGACCGGGTCAAGACCAAAACTGAACTTTGTAACATTGCAAAGGTCAATCCAACCTCCTCACAGTGTGCTAAGTTAGCCTAAGTAAACTACAGCTTGCTAAAACGGTCTGAATTGTCCACTCCGCTGATGACCGTTTCGTTCGACACTTCAGCTCAACTCAGCCAGAGCCGGTTGATGAGGAGCCTGGACACTTCCTATTTCCCTTGTTATATCAAGAACATGACTGCAAAATGCCAGAGGGCGCCCACAAGTGAGTCCTCAATGACTAAATGGAGCTAAATGGGTAAAAACGAAAAGTTAAAATAGCTTCTAACCACTCGCCCACAACTTTCCTGTGATTTTGGATAGTTTAAGTTTGTATTTCACTAAAAAAGCAAAGAAAACTCACCTGTATTTTTCCTTTGTCCCACAGCAAACAGGTTTTGGGCAGCAGGACGCTAACATTACTGCTACTGAGTGCTGATTGGTTGGCGAGCAGAACGGCTTATTGGCTGTTCGTGCTCACAGACGTCATGAACGTACATGAGGCGCCGTTTTAAACGCCTATAATTCGAGTTTAAAAGCTCTTAAAAATATAACAGCGGTGTTAAAATGTTTTATGCTGCTCTGTGTTCAGGAAAGGAATGTATTTTTACATTAAAAATGTTTTAAGTTTTTATAAACTATGATTTTGCTCAAATGCTCCATCTTAACCCATTCATTTTGGACTCGCTCGGGAGCGCCCTCTAGCGTTTGAGAAACCCCGAACCCCGGAGTGGCAATTCTCCACTCTACAAGTTCTCTGACTCAGCTCTGACTGTTCGCACAACATTTGTCCACATTCTGTAGCCGTCGTTTGAAATTAAAAGCCCTCTGCAGAGCTTTGTAATTGAAACATGACATTTCATAAAATTATAAGCAGCAGCAACAATACATTTGTAAAATAATATATATATCAGAAACACTGAAGTGTTTCGACCTCGGAATGAGCCGAAGGTTTGTCAAAGAAAAACCTTTTCTAAGACCATCACTGGTCTTATAATGTGGTCTGTTTTTGTGTGCTCCAACTTATTTATTATTTGTTTATTTTTTAGAATTTTTTTCTCTTTTTCCTCTGTTGTTTTTACTTTGTACAGTGAAGCACTTTGAGCTGCATTTTTAATGTATGAAAGGTGCTATATAAATAAACTTTATCATTATTATTATTATCATTATTATTATCACCGCCTATGAGAGTGAAACTCAAGGTTTCAGCCGACCCGTGAGTTTGTCATGCCGATCCAAAATAGCAGTCCTGGCGCCACTACTGCTCACAAGTCTGTAGTTTTGCCCAGTATTACTGAAAGCTTTTGAACAGCATGTGTGCACTTGCGAGTGATAAACAGCGTCAGTATTGATTTTATTGATTTTATTACCATTTCTCTTTCTTTGCGCCCAAAGAAGCGTTGAAAATGACATGGAATGAGCAAGCAAGCTTCTTGTTATGTAACTTTTCCACATGGTATTGTTATAGACGTTGAGTTGTTTGAAGAAAATATTGTGATTTTTCTTTATAGATCTCTATATTTACCATATTTAGAACATAGACGAAGTGCCGGATCCGCTAAAATAGGGGCTGGATCCAGTCTGGGAGACAGATCTAGATCTGCTTGAGAGAGAGATCTTAGTGTAGTAGGCAAAGAACACAACACTTCTATAAGACATGCAGAGTCAATAATACTCATTATTTACATTAAAACATCTGAAGCCTGCGTGCATTTATATTTTGCAGTTTTCATTCATATTTCACTGTTGTCGGAAACAAAACCTCGTATCTCCAAAATGGTAACTTTACAGGAGAAGGAATAAACCTACTTTACTTTCAATGTAAGTCAATGGAATCAGACTTCTTTCCAAGTCATTTTGGGTCGTTTCTTTTAGTCCATTCATCATGAAATTGACACACAATGTAAAGAGCAACAGGTATTTTCAAATTATGTGATAAACTATAAAAAATGGAGATACGAGGTTTTCTTCCGACAACAGCGATTTGCATTAGCACTTTATCATTGTGGCTAATACGAATGACATTCAGGCATGCAATTGGGACAGCACCGCTCTAAAAATACACCCACACATTCCCATTCTCTCAGTGACACATACACCGCTCATGCGCTCAAAGACAAGAAATCAGATACACATCTGCGAAGCTTATTGCATTCTCTTGCAAAATTCCAGGACAGTGTGCAGTATCACTAACGATGGGCTGCTGGCCAAAGTTATGGAAGCTGTATTTTACAATCAGGGCAATTTGACAACAGTTAACACAACAACATGCTTACTAATATCTAGTTTAACTAAAGAAGTTGTTCTAGAATATTCCAGTGGTGCTGCTGTGCTGTATTCTTACTCTAATGTATTCAATCGTAAAAGCATTCTTAACTGTCTTTGACGATATCCGTTCCCAACATTGAGCAGTTTTTAATTCTTTAACATCTGAATGGGGAATCAGGTGGATCTGATTAGGGCTACAATAAAACTGCAGGAGAACCACCAGGAGCTGAACTCATCAACAATCAGTTCTGCACACACCATTGCTGTATTTAGTCAAACCATTTAGTGTTAATAATCTAAATAAGAATATTATTCATTAGCTCTTGAAAAAAATAAAGTAAAAATATCTTTTTTGTGAGTCTTACAAACTTTTGATGAGTAGTATTTGCTTTAAATGAGTATTTGACACCTTTTTCTAATTGTGTTAGACATTGTAATCTGCTTTTTGGAAACCGACATGTGTCCAGATACACACAAAATAGCAGTTGTGAGACCTTTGCTGTAGAAATGTAATGTTGAATATTTCATTCTGAGCATCTATAAACCAGTCTCTGACCTTAACTTGAAAAAACAATGTTTACATACGTGAAAACGAGTGAAAAATTCCTATCTTGAGATCAAGTCGTCGCAATAAAGCATCATTAGTGAAAGTAGTAAATGATCTGGGAATAAGTGCTGATAAAGGTGGTGTTTCTGTGCTTAAACGTCTGGATTAACCTGCTACATTTGATGTTGAATCACAGAATCCTTCTTAAAACCTGGTTTTCTGTGTGGTGTACCTCAAGGCTCTGTACTTGGCCCACTTTTATTTGCCTGTTTTTTGCCGCTGGGTCAGATAATAGAGAAGCATGAAGTCAATTTTCATAGTTGTGCAGTTGATAGACAGCCGTACATGTCTGTAGCGCCAGGCTGTGTCGGTGTTGTAGAAAGCCTGGTAATCTGTTTATCCAGCATTACAAGCTGGATTAATAGCTGTTGTTTAAGCTAAATGAATACAAGACAGAAAAAATAGTAATAATCGGTAAAGAAGAGGAAAAGTGTGTATAACAGATGTGGAAAGCTATGTAAGTAAGTATTACTATTATGTAATATATACATTCGTCCACAGGAGATGATCACGTGCTCATTTTCCTTTGTTAAATTATTCTTTCTCACTCGCTCTGTTTTCTGCCGCAGGTGGACAGTTGTGAATCTCTCAAGGAGGGCGTGGTCGGGGTGAAGGAGACGGAGTGCAATGGTGAAAATGAAAATGGTGTTTCCCAGGGTGCTTTGCAGGGGCATGACTCTTCCCCTGACTCCTCCCACCAGAACGGGTCAGACAAGGCCAGTCAGAATGAAAACTCCACCCCCTCCACTCCACGGAAGAAACGTGGGCGCCGGAAACGCGAACACCCAGAAAAACGTGAGTCACGGAACTTTAGTTCCACCGGTTGAGGAGCAGTTCTAGATACAGAGGATACATTTTCTGTAAAGCTTTTCTAACAGAAGCCGACACAGCAAAAGAAACTTCAGGATACCTTCACTCGTAGCTTTTATGCATGTTATAACTTTATGATTTTTGCCAATTTCTTCATGAAATATACAAAGGAAAACATGGAATAGTTGCTCTTTGTTTTGGACTGAAGGATTCATTTCTTGAGGTTGTGACTCCAAAAATGTAAGACATTGTAAATGACTGATTATTTACCTCAAGCTGTAATGGGATTACTACAGAGCCGCGCTGGTGACGTCCTGTATAAATAAAACTAATGCGTGGCCACGACATAGTAAGGTGTGGGAACAAGATCCTAATGCATGGCCACAACTTAGCAAGGCATTATCTCATTCCCACGCCTTACCAAGTTGTGGCCACGACGTACTTATCTCATTCCCACAAGTTAACAAGGTGTGGCCACACGTTATTTTTATTTATATGGGATGTCACCAGCGGGGCTCCGTAGATTCCTGGAAAAAGTGATCCCGTTACTTGTGACTTTGCTTCTGTGCTACTCTGAAATACAAACACATCTGTGCCAACCGGAAGATGGAATTCAATAGTCTTTCCACTTTATTTAGAAAGAAATAGCCAATCACAGTAAACATCATTGGAATAATTCAAATGGTCCGAGAAACTAGCCAGTAGGAACGATTTTCAAACCCAGCTGCCTCAAAACGATGGGCCTCATTCACCAATATCATCCTTTGTCCTTAAATGTGTTCTTGAGAAGTCGACGTCAGAATCTTCATAAAAACGGTGTAAGTGGGTTTTAAGAAGAAATTTCTTATTTATTTTTTTATAAACAAAATTCAAAGCTGTTCTTGAATGAAAATCTAGCCAGGCCTGTGTAGGTGGATTTGAGGCTCTCGCATCTTCAGCATGGAGATCTTTATCAATCAGTTTCACTTTGGCTCAGTTAGATGCTTCATTGAATTGCTTGTTGAGTTTAGAGAAATTCCTGCACCTGTGCTGCTTATATTCACAAAACTGCTCTGTGAGCTTTCGCAGGTAGCGCAAATTACACACAAACACAGGCTCAGAGAATCTATATAGAGGAAACTTACGTTTAAGAGCCATCGCACGGGATTAATGGAAATGTATGAGTAACACAAGTAATGTGATTCTTATTAACTTAGTATCTGTAATATGATTACTAGAATTTAAAATGTAATACTTTACAGTACATAACATTCCTGAGGTTTGCCATTTGCACCAGATTATCTTAAAAATTTAATTTGTGTCCAATAATGAAGAGTTTTGAAATTACAGCTGGATCTTTGAGAATATATAAATGTAGTGTAATTTATCATCCACTGCACAGATCCTTACATAAATCTCTTTCTTTCTCTTTCTCAGATATAGAAGATGATGGTAGCAGTAGTGATACCAGCAGAGGAGAGGTAAACACTGTTCACTGTACTTATATATATATACATATATATTTGTACTGGATGTCATCTTCACTGGGTATCTGGGAAAATTCTCTAGGTGGTTACCTACAAGATCTCATTTTAATCCAGTATGAATCTGCACTTTCTCTGGTTTTTACAATCTGACAGTAATAATTGTGGAGCAATTTTAATCCAGTATGAATCTGCAGTGTGTGTAGTTTTTTACAGTGTAACAGTAATAACTGTGGAGCAATTTTAATCCAGTATGAATCTGCAGTGTGTGTAGTTTTACAGTCTGACAGTAATAATTGTGGAGCGATTTTAATCCAGTATGAATCTGCAGTGTGTGTAGTTTTTACAGTCTGACGGTAATAATTGTGGAGCGATTTTAATCCAGTATGAATCTGCAGTGTGTGTAGTTTTTACAGTCTGATGGTAATAATTGTGGAGCGATTTTAATCCAGTATGAATCTGCAGTGTGTGTAGTTTTTACAGTCTGACGGTAATAATTGTGGAGCGATTTTAATCCAGTATGAATCTGCAGTGTGTGTAGTTTTTACAGTCTGACTGTAATAATTGTGGAGCGATTTTAATCCAGTATGAATCTGCAGTGTGTGTAGTTTTAGTGTAACAGTAATAATTGTGGAGCGATTTTAATCCAGTATGAATCTGCAGTGTGTGTAGTTTTTACAGTCTGACGGTAATAATTGTGGAGCGATTTTAATCCAGCATGAATCTGCAGTGTGTGTAGTTTTACAGTCTGACAGTAATAATTGTGGAGCGATTTTAATCCAGTATGAATCTGCAGTGTGTGTAGTTTTACAGTCTGACAGTAATAATTGTAGTGATTTTAATCCAGTATGAATCTGCAGTGTGTGTAGTTTTACAGTCTGACGGTAATAATTGTGGAGCGATTTTAATCCAGCATGAATCTGCAGTGTGTGTAGTTTTACAGTCTGACGGTAATAATTGTGGAGTGATTATAATCCAGTATGAATCTGCAGTGTGTGTAGTTTTACAGTCTGACTGTAATAATTGTGGAGTGATTATAATCCAGTATGAATCTGCAGTGTGTGTAGTTTTACAGTCTGACGTAATAATTGTGGAGTGATTATAATCCAGTATGAATCTGCAGTGTGTGTAGTTTTACTGTGATGGTAATAATTGTGGAGCGATTATAATCCAGTATGAATCTGCAGTGTGTGTAGTTTTACTGTGATGGTAATAATTGTGGAGTGATTTTAATCCAGTATGAATCTGCAGTGTGTGTAGTTTTACAGTCTGACTGTAATAATTGTGGAGCGATTTTAATCCAGTATGAATCTGCAGTGTGTGTAGTTTTACAGTCTGACTGTAATAATTGTGGAGTGATTATAATCCAGTATGAATCTGCAGTGTGTGTAGTTTTAGTGTGACAGTAATAATTGTGGAGTGATTATAATCCAGTATGAATCTGCAGTGTGTGTAGTTTTACAGTCTGACAGTAATAATTGTGGAGCGATTTTAATCCAGCATGAATCTGCAGTGTGTGTAGTTTTACAGTCTGACAGTAATAATTGTGGAGCGATTTTAATCCAGTATGAATCTGCAGTGTGTGTAGTTTTACAGTCTGACGTAATAATTGTGGAGTGATTTTAATCCAGTATGAATCTGCAGTGTGTGTAGTTTTACAGTCTGACGGTAATAATTGTGGAGTGATTTTAATCCAGTATGAATCTGCAGTGTGTGTAGTTTTACAGTCTGACGGTAATAATTGTGGAGTGATTATAATCCAGTATGAATCTGCAGTGTGTGTAGTTTTACAGTCTGATGGTAATAATTGTGGAGCGATTTTAATCCAGTATGAATCTGCAGTGTGTGTAGTTTTACAGTCTGACGGTAATAATTGTGGAGTGATTTTAATCCAGTATGAATCTGCAGTGTGTGTAGTTTTACAGTCTGACTGTAATAATTGTGGAGTGATTTTAATCCAGTATGAATCTGCAGTGTGTGTAGTTTTACAGTCTGACGGTAATAATTGTGGAGCGATTTTAATCCAGCATGAATCTGCAGTGTGTGTAGTTTTACAGTCTGACGGTAATAATTGTGGAGTGATTTATAATCCAGTATGAATCTGCAGTGTGTGTAGTTTTACAGTCTGACTGTAATAATTGTGGAGTGATTTTAATCCAGTATGAATCTGCAGTGTGTGTAGTTTTACAGTCTGATGGTAATAATTGTGGAGTGATTTTAATCCAGTATGAATCTGCAGTGTGTGTAGTTTTACAGTCTGACAGTAATAATTGTCGAGTGATTATAATCCAGTATGAATCTGCAGTGTGTGTAGTTTTTTACAGTGTAACAGTAATAACTGTGGAGTGATTTTAATCCAGTATGAATCTGCAGTGTGTGTAGTTTTTACGGTCTGACTGTAATAATTGTGGAGTGATTTTAATCCAGTATGAATCTGCAGTGTGTGTAGTTTTACAGTCTGACTGTAATAATTGTGGAGCGATTTTAATCCAGTATGAATCTGCAGTGTGTGTAGTTTTTACAGTCTGACTGTAATAATTGTGGAGTGATTTTAATCCAGTATGAATCTGCAGTGTGTGTAGTTTTACAGTCTGACTGTAATAATTGTGGAGTGATTTTAATCCAGTATGAATCTGCAGTGTGTGTAGTTTTACAGTCTGACTGTAATAATTGTGGAGCGATTTTAATCCAGTATGAATCTGCAGTGTGTGTAGTTTTACAGTCTGACAGTAATAATTGTGGAGTGATTTTAATCCAGTATGAATCTGCAGTGTGTGTAGTTTTACAGTCTGACTGTAATAATTGTGGAGCGATTTTAATCCAGTATGAATCTGCAGTGTGTGTAGTTTTACAGTCTGACTGTAATAATTGTGGAGTGATTTTAATCCAGTATGAATCTGCAGTGTGTGTAGTTTTACAGTCTGACTGTAATAATTGTGGAGTGATTTTAATCCAGTATGAATCTGCAGTGTGTGTAGTTTTACAGTCTGATGTTAATAATTGTGGAGTGATTATAATCCAGTATGAATCTGCAGTGTGTGTAGTTTTACAGTTTGACAGTAATAATTGTGGAGTGATTTTAATCCAGTATGAATCTGCAGTGTGTGTAGTTTTACAGTCTGACTGTAATAATTGTGGAGTGATTTTAATCCAGTATGAATCTGCAGTGTGTGTAGTTTTACAGTCTGACAGTAATAATTGTGGAGTGATTATAATCCAGTATGAATCTGCAGTGTGTGTAGTTTTACAGTCTGATAGTAATAATTGTGGAGTGATTTTAATCCAGTATGAATCTGCAGTGTGTGTAGTTTTTACAGTCTGACTGTAATAATTGTGGAGTGATTTTAATCCAGTATGAATCTGCAGTGTGTGTAGTTTTACAGTCTGACTGTAATAATTGTGGAGTGATTTTAATCCAGTATGAATCTGCAGTGTGTGTAGTTTTAGTGTGACAGTAATAATTGTGGAGTGATTATAATCCAGTATGAATCTGCAGTGTGTAGTTTTAGTGTGACAGTAATAATTGTGCAGTGATTTTAATCCAGTATGAATCTGCAGTGTGTGTAGTTTTACAGTCTGACAGTAATAATTGTGGAGTGATTTTAATCCAGTATGAATCTGCAGTGTGTGTAGTTTTACAGTCTGACAGTAATAATTGTGGAGTGATTTTAATCCAGTATGAATCTGCAGTGTGTGTAGTTTATACAGTCTGACAGTAATAATTGTGGAGCGATTTTAATCCAGTATGAATCTGCAGTGTGTGTAGTTTTACAGTTTGACAGTAATAATTGTGGAGTGATTTTAATCCAGTATGAATCTGCAGTGTGTGTAGTTTTACAGTCTGACAGTAATAATTGTGGAGTGATTTTAATCCAGTATGAATCTGCAGTGTGTGTAGTTTTACAGTCTGACAGTAATAATTGTGGAGTGATTTTAATCCAGTATGAATCTGCAGTGTGTGTAGTTTTACAGTCTGACAGTAATAATTGTGGAGCGATTTTAATCCAGTATGAATCTGCAGTGTGTAGTTTTACGGTCTGACAGTAATAATTGTGGAGCGATTTTAATCCAGTATGAATCTGCAGTGCGTGTAGTTTTTACAGTCTGACGGTATTAATTGTGGAGCGATTTTAATCCAGTATGAATCTGCAGTGTGTAGTTTTACAGTCTGACGGTAATAATTGTCGAGTGATTTTAATCCAGTATGAATCTGCAGTGTGTGTAGTTTTACAGTCTGACGGTAATAATTGTCGAGTGATTTTAATCCAGTATGAATCTGCAGTGTGTGTAGTTTTACAGTCTGACGGTAATAATTGTCAAGTGATTTTAATCCAGTATGAATCTGCAGTGTGTGTAGTTTTACAGTCTGACGGTAATAATTGTGGAGCGATTTTAATCCAGTATGAATCTGCAGTGTGTGTAGTTTTACAGTCTGACAGTAATAATTGTGGAGTGATTTTAATCCAGTATGAATCTGCAGTGTGTAGTTTTACAGTCTGACAATAATAACTGTGGAGCGATTTTAATCCAGTATGAATTTGCAGTGTGTGTAGTTTTACAGTCTGACGGTAATAATTGTCGAGTGATTATAATCCAGTATGAATCTGCAGCGTGTGTAGTTTTACAGTCTGACGGTAATAATTGTGGAGCGATTTTAATCCAGTATGAATCTGCAGCGTGTGTAGTTTTACAGTCTGACGGTAATAATTGTCGAGTGATTTAATCCAGTATGAATCTGCTGTATGCGTTTTTACAGTCTTGTGTAAATTAACCAGTCAAATCATTTAATATCTTACTTTGTTCAATCTCTTCGTTAAAACTAATTAACTGTCAGTAGTGCTTAAGTGCTTAAGTGCTTAATGGCCTGAGTTTTTGTTTGATTTGGCTCTTCTTTTGCCGCGTGTAGGGTGATAGTGGACGTAAGCGTAGTCGTCAGGGCTGGGACATCAGTCTCCGAAGGAGACCCGTCCCCAGAATCACCTACCAGGCTGGAGAACCGTACCGCATCAGCAGGAGAGAGATGGAAGAAATGCTCGCCCGCTGCAGAAAAGAAGAGGTGGGTGAGAGAGAGAGAGAGAGAGAGAGAGAGAGAGAGAGAGAATAGAGCTCTGCGACTGTGCTCCATTTTCTGGTTAGGCCTATTTTTAGTCTTTGGGAAAACTGAATGGAATTTTTGAAAATGGACTTCCGGACCTGGAAGTCCTTAAATATATCAAATACAGATATTACATGCAGTGCATGCTAACACTGCCATGCGTTTAATTGACGTCAATAAGTTTTAGTTGAGTAGGTTAAGTGAAGCCACTACTATAACCAGGGGTTAAATCAGGATTTTGGCCTGTTCAGTGTATGTGGGACCCATTTTCAGTGTTTACCAAAAGAAAAAATGATGTGATTTATTATGATTTCAGCCTCAGATTCTTGGCCTTCGCTCATTTTCTGTGAAGAACATATAAAATAACCCATTTTCAGTGTCTTCACTCTGTTCACCCCCCACACATTTATATTACACATGTGGTGTTGGGCTGAACCCGCGGGGAGTAAAAGTGTGGAGGTGCTGTGTCCTTCACTCTGTTCTCCTCCTACATGGCCTGCTGTTAGTGTGTGTGTGCCTGAGTGTGTATGTGTTTGTATATGTGTGTGTGTGTGTGTGTGAGGGTTGACAACATGGACAGGCTGCTGATTGGCTACAGCTGCTAAAGGAGAACCCTACGCTGGCCACTTGTGATATTTTAAACATCTGATATTTTTATGTTAATTGTTATGGCTGTATTGATTTAATAAACAATAATGCGGTGGGTCCAGCAGACCACTGAGTAACAAACACATCACCACACAAGGGTTAATATTCTTATTAATATTTTCTCATTCTGACAAAGCGTGCAGTGGGCGTGTCCCTTAACTGAGTAGATGTTATCTGTCGGCTCAGTTTATCGTATTTCAGCTGAGCTCCGTTTGCTGTTCACCTGAAGGTTCCTGAGCTCAGCTTTAGGCCCAGTTTAAGCCCTGATGTTAACGACACGCTACTTCAACACTGTGATACAAAAACAATGGTTACTTAATCTGTACAGCCAGTGACCCCTAAACTACCACACTCGACAAAACTTGCTGGTTTTCCCTGGGTATTTTGGTGTGGTTGCCAGTCCTATGATGTCAATATTAATGTGTGATGTTGTACGTCTTAAAAAGATGGTTCTTCACGGGTTCTTTAGTAAAGGCAGTGGCTCTATATAGAACTATGAACACTCAAAGAACCATTTGCATGCTTAAATGGTTCTTTGCATGGTGAAATGATTCTTCAGATTGATGGAGGATGTGTTGTATATGGTTCTATATAGCACCAATATGGTTCTGTTACTGTTACAATGTAAAGTTGAAGCAATTGAAGAACCCTTTTTGAAAAGGTGCTGTTATAGAACCATATACAACACAATCTGAAGAACCACTTCAGCATACAAGTGGTTTTTTGAGTGTTTATGGTTCTATATAGAACTATAGTCTTTACTAAAGAACCCTTGAAGAACCATCTTTCGTAGGAGTGTAAGCTTGCATGCAGCATGTATGTCGCAATATTTAGACTATTTATTTTTTTGTATGCATTAATCACAAGCATCATTTCATAATGTAAATGGCCAGATTTAACTAAATGACAAATTTCCTTAATTCTATAAAACTTAAAGCTGCCCTATGTCAGATTTTTTTTTGTTAAAATTGAAAGTAGTAGTATTAAAAATTTAGGAGAATAAAAAATACAACCCACATTATGAAATATACACTGCATGCAATTACACATTTCCACCAGAGAGGTCTCCAAATCCCCAAAGCTTTCATAGTGCAGCTTTAATGACTAATTTAAATGCTTTAAGTGCTATTTAGGGTTGCCAGGCATCCAGTTTTAGATGGGAAAATCCGGTTTTGAGCTCCGGTGTCCAGTTGGGACTGTTGACCGGATGTTAAAATGTCTTAATTACTCTAAATGTATTCCAATTGTTGAAGTAGGTTAAATGCCATTCTAGCCCTGCCTTTGCACTCCCCACCGTTCTTCCTTTCACTCGCATGCACACATTTACATTTACAGCATTTGGTAGACATTCTTATCCAGGGCGACTTACAGTTTGATCATTTTACACAGGTGGGCGAAGGTAGTGTTGGGAGTCTTGCCCAAGGACTCTTAGTGGTATAGTGTAGGGTGCATACCCAGGCAGGGGACTGAACCCAAGTCTACAGCGTAGAAGGCAGCATAGAAGGCTGCGTAAAAGGCAGAGGTGTTACCCGCTACACTACACCAACCACTGCGGCTGTGGCGTTCTAGGCTTTGCACTGGTGCATATTCCACCAATCACCACCGATCATCAAGCGATCATGTGAGCCCATGTGGGTAGATTTAATAAAAACAATTATCAAACAGTTTTAAAGCACAAAAACATGCCCAAATTAATAAATGGGGGCATGATTAAGAAATATTGGATGCTTGCCTGCTCAGCACCTCCTCAGCACCTCCTCAGCACCTCCTCAGCACACCCCAAACCCCCTGGCCTGTCTCAGTTTTGCCACTGAAATCTGGCAACCCATGTGACATTAAAGAGGAAAACATATGTACAACAACATGTACATCTCCTGGAACTTGGTTAACCATAGAGCACGATAAGGGGTTACTTCAGAAAATGTCATTCATTTTTCCCATAGACAAAACGGCTTAGAACCAGGATCTGGAACAAAATGATGAGGCATCCTCAGAGGCCTGTAATGTATAGAAGGAGAACCGCTGATGGTTAGGTTACTCAGACCGAGAACGGGTGAAGGAAAGTCAAAGCAAGTGGAAAAGTAGAAGCAGGTCTGAGGAACAGTGAGAAGGTAAAAAGGCACAAGGCTGGTGTGTGTGTGTGTGTGTGTGTGTGTGTGTGTTAGTGGTGAGAGTTCAAGAAGTGGCATAGTCTAAAAAGTAAGTAGAAAGCACTTGACACACATATGGAGGCTTTGATCTGAATTAACAGCGCACACAGTGTGTGTGTGTGTGTGTGTGTGTGTGTGTGTGTGTGTGTGTGTGTGGAAAGTGAGCCTCAGTGGAAAGTCAGACGGTTTAGTGTGACTTCAGTTCCATTGACACACTCTGCTCCGACTCGGAGGCCCTGTTTCCTGTGTGGGGTGTAAGGTGAGCGAGTGTGTGTTATGGTAGTGGGGACGGTGTGTGTGCACACGCGTGTGAGTGTGTGAAACCTCATCATGCTTTCAGACATTTACATGCGCAGGAAATGGTGCAGCTGCTGAATGTATGTTTCTGGCTTCTATGGTTGTGGTCTAAACACAGTTCATGTTCCACGTTTGTATTTGTGCTGTTAATTTGTGCGTCTGTGTGTTTTCTTGATGGTACTGCAGTCTTGGTGGGGCAACATGGAGATAAGTTATCTTTATTGTGATTTATTCCTCCACTGTACGCTTCTCTAAGGATCTCACGGGTATCGCCTGTACCTCTACAACACAGCTTAATCATTGAACAGTCTGCGTGCTCATCAGGGGGAGTTCACACTGGACGCCTTTTTGGCGGACCACCTTTTTCCTGCAGTTTTCAATGGGAGAGACGTGTTTTGTGTGCTGGTTTTTGTGCGGAGTGCTCCAGGTACCATGAGTAGAAAAAATGTAAACTCAAAGCAAATTTCAACTCCAGTTAGGCTGTTTTTGTTTTTCCTATGCTGACCAATCAGATCAGGAGGAAGGTGGGCCTTCGGTGACGGTTGCAGTGGCTGAGAACTCTGAAATGTTATTTCACAGACCAAAATGACCACGATATAAATGAAAAGCCCCTTGTTTTAAAAATGGTCAGTGACAGAGCTGTGAGCGATATGTATCTATGCAGATCAACACGACAGCTGGCTCAGCTGGCTCAGCTGGCTCAGCTAGCACAGCTGACTGATGCTTATTGTTGCTCGGGAGACGTAAAACCAAAACCAGTGTTCCAAAAAAACGCAACTGTGAACCTCAAGACATAAGAAGACAAAGCAGTGCACCTGCATTTTCAGGAAAATCAGTGTGAACTCAACCTAAAAAAACAGACACGCCTCTCCGCCGATCAGAGTCGCCTTCAGACGTTCCCTCCTCTGTCAAGAGAAGGAAGAACTTCGATAGAACTCCTCAAAACAAACCTAAAGGCTGTAGGCAGGCATGCTTACAACTGAGCAGGCACGTAAAACTAAACATGAATGTTACATGTAGCCAATTAACAGTTTACAGGTGGGGAGTTTCATTCAATAAAATATCTAGAACATGCAAATGAATCATTTTCTTTGGTAAATGTATTTAGAAAAAATGTGTGAAGTCTTATTCAGTAATATTATCTAGAACATGCAGGTTGGAAGTTTCATGCAATAAAATATCCAGAACATACAGATGAATATTTTTTTTCTGTAAATGTGTTTAGAAAAAACGTGAAAATTCTTATTCAGCAATTTTATCTAGAACATACAGGTGGAGAGTTTAATTCAATAAAATATCTAGAACATACAGATGAATTTTTTTTTCTATAAATGTATTTAGAAAAAACGTGAAAAGTCTTATTCAGCAGTTTTATCTAGAACATACAGGTGGAGAGTTTAATTCAATAAAATATCTAGAACATACAGATGAATCATTTTTTCTGTAAATGTATTTAGAAAAAACAAGTGAAAAGTCTTATTCAGCAGTATTATTGTATTCTACTATATGCAGAACATACGGGGGGAGGGGTCCATACAATAAACAACCTTCACCTCTGTGAAGAGTTTTATTCAGTGACGTATCTAGAACATGCAGGTGGAGAATTCCATTCAATAAAATGTCTAGAACATACAGGCAAAGACTTTGATTTGGTTAATATATATAAAAAAAAACAGGTGAAGAGTTTTATTCAGTAACATATCTAGAACATGCACGTGAAGATAACGCTGGGCGTCCACTTGCACTATTTCGTGCTGTGTTCCGTGCCGGATCTCTCTGCTGGCCGCTGGTGTTTTTTTTTATGTTGTCGTGGAAATGAAGGAACCGTATTGAACATTTCTGGTGCAGTAAATGATCTGGAATAAT